AGGGACCTGCGTGGGGAGCCACTAGAGGGTTTGGAGAAGGAAAGTAATGTGATCTGGGTTCATTTTAATAGGCATCCCTACACTGGGTGTGGGGTGTGGCTTATGTCTGTAATCCCAGCATTTTGGGAGGCTGAGGAGGGCAGATCACTTGAGCCCAGGAGCTCAAGACAGCCTGGGCAATATGGTGATGCCCCGTCTTTACTAAAAATACAAAAAATTAGCTAAGCGTGATGGAGCACACCTGTAGTTTTAGCTACTCGGGAGGCAAGGTGGGAGGATGGCTTGAACCTGGAAAGTCGAGGCTGCAGAGAGCCATGATCACACCACTACACTCCAACCTGGGCAACAGAGGGGGGATCCCTCTGGAGGCTGTGTTGACTATGGGGAAACCAGGGCAAAAAAAAAAAAAGGGAGTCCAGTTAAGAGATCCTGAAATAATCCAGATTAAAATATAACTGAAACAAAAGTTTTATGAGACAATACTTACCCTTTTAATACTACACTCTGGTTTTTCTCCTGTTTCACAAATGCTGAGCATTGAAGTGCTGCTTTCCATCATCCGGCCGTAGCAGATGCCTTGTCATGGCAGGCAGGTGGAATGTACTTCCCCTTGACTTTGGGCTTTTGCTTGTCCTATGGGTTGTTAGCTTACTTGATACAAGTTTTGAAAGTATGCTGGCATGGTTGGGTTCACCTTCTTGCCCTTCTTTCTTGAGAAGAACATAGTCTGTTGGCCCAAGGACAGGATGAAGGACAAACAGGGCAGCCTAGATGCAACCTGCAGCTTGAAGCCAAGCCCAGAAGAGCCCCGCCTAGATCAGTGAAATCCCAGCCAAATCAGGCGTATAAGCAAGAAATGAAGACTTGCTGTATACCACCAAGACTTCATAGTAATTGCACATGACTATTGAGAATGTAGCTGATTGAGCCAACTACCAAATTGGTTTCATGCTAGGTTATGACCTGGAGTTGAAAAGATACCTCTGTACACCACCCAGGTGAGGGGCCAGAAGAGCAGCCTTCTCAGGATGGGACCTGCATATGGAATAGACACAGAGTACAGCTATTATCATAAGAATCCAAATTCCCGCCGGGCGCAGTAGCTCAAGCCTATAATCCCAGCACTTTGGGAGGCCGAGGCGGGTGGATCACGAGGTCAAGAGATCAATACCATCCTGGTCAACATGGTGAAACCCCATCTCTACTAAAAATACAAAAAATTAGCTGGGCATGGTGGCGCATGCCTGTAATCCCAGGTGCTCGGGAGGCTGAGGCAGGAGAATTGCCTGAACCCTGGAGGCAGAGGTTGCGGTGAGCCGAGATCGCGCCATTGCACTCCAGCCTGGGTAACGAGCGAAACTCCATCTCAAAAAAATAAATAAAAATAAAAAAAAAAAGAATCCAAATTCCCTCAGACAAGGCCAGGCATGGTAGCTCATGCCTGTAATCTCAGCACTTTGGGAAGCCAAAGTGGAGGATTGCTTGAGGTCAGGAGTTCAAGACCAGCCTGGGCAACATAGGAAGACTGTGTCTGTCTCTATACAAAAAGAGTTTTAAAAATTTTAAAAAAAGAAAGAAAGAAAAAGGCTGGGCACAGTGGCTCACACCTGTAATCCCAACATTTGGGGAGGCCAAGGCAGGTAGATCATGAGGTCAGGAGTTTGAAACCAACCTGGCCTATATGGTGAAACCCCATCTCTACTAAAAATTAAAAATTAGCTGGGCATAGTGGCATGCACCTGTAGTCTCAGCTACTCGGGAGAGTGAGACAGAAGAATCACTTGAACCAGGGAGGTGGAGGTTGCAGTGAACTGAGATCGTGCCACTGCACTCCAGCCTGGACAACAGAGGGAGACTCTGTCTCCAAAAAATAAAAAAAATAAATTTTTGTTGTTGTTGTTGTTGTTGAGAAGGAGTTTCGCTCGTTCTCTATGACTAGAGAAAAGTATGAAGTCTAAAATGTCCAGCAGAAGTTGCCACCAAATTAACAAGCATATAGTTTTCTTTTAAGGAAATCTAGACATAAATGTGATTCCTTCTGCCCGGATGCTTCCATAATGATAGGATGTTAAGTCAAAGCCCCTGCTGAATAAACACAATAAATAAAAGTACACTATCCAATAGCAAGAATAAACCAAAAAATTCTACAGATGTCTACCCAACCATACCCTGACCCTCGAAACCTTCTTCCTGGAATCCAACTAGAATAATGCAAGAGGATCCACTATATCAGGTGCAGTCTGCAAAGGTTCATGCAGATCTCCTGCTGAAAATGCAAGCCACAGTTGAAACATGTAGTCTAGTCAGGTTTCTGTTAGGTTCCTTTCATCTTTCTCATGTTGGATACAGGCAGACTTGAGTCCAAATACCTGTAGGCTATGTACTCATACTGTGTGACCATGGGCAAGCTATTCACCCTCTTAGAATGTAGTAAAGTCAGGACTATATTTACCTTATAGAGTGAATGCAATAGTAAGTAATCATTTGTATATAAAATCCAGTAGAACAGCTGTACATGACTGGTGCTCAATAAATACTACGTGTTTTTTTTTTGTTTTTGTTTTTTTTTTGAGACGGAGTTTCGCTCTTGTTACCCAGGCTGGAGTGCAATGGCACGATCTCGGCTCACCGCAACCTTTGCCTCCTGGGTTCAAGCAATTCTCCTGCCTCAGCCTCCTGAGCTGGGATTACAGGCACGCGCCACCATGCCCAGCTAATTTTTTTTTCTATTTTTACTAGAGACGGGGTTTCACCATGTTGACCAGGATGGTCTCGATCTCTTGACCTCGTGATCCACCCACCTCAGCCTCCCAAAGTGCTGCGATTACAGGCGTGAGCCACCGCGCCCGGCCAATAAACACTACTTTTAAAATTTATTCCAGAATGTGCATTTTATGAAGGGAGAGATGGGGAGATTATTCATACCCCCTATTATATTTCACTCAACAAGGGAAAATCTTCAGTAGACCCAAGCTTGAGCTCTGGCCCTTAAAAGATAATGATGGATAACTGAGTATATCATTTGACTGGCAACTACATACCTACCTGTTTTCACCACCTCCAGATTGTCAGTCACCTGCTTATTATTTTCTTCCCTGCCTTAATTCACGGGATGTGAGGTGGCTTATAGGAAACAAGCAGAATAACAGTAAACTAAAAACTGAACATAAAATGCTGGGATAGGGAAATCTAAAATTGGAATTATAGACTGGCTGGAAACATTATATACAAATAAGTAGGTTACTGGGTTTTATATAAATTCCAGAGTAAAGGAATTTGGTTCTGTGCTTCTTCCTCATCAAAATGAAAATGGAAACACAGTCAATTAATAATTCTCATTATCATGAAAAGAAAACATACCTTCACAAAGAATGTAATAGGATGATTAAATACATCCTTATATGAGATGCATTGATGGGCTTTAAAAGAATGTTTCCTGTATCTCCTAAGGAAAAAGAATCGAATTCTAAAACACTACTCCAAGAAGGGTTTTTAGGGTGCCATACTAATTACCTTCATGATGTCCCAATCTCTAGCAACAATGTATGGACCATGTATTCTTCCCAGACTCTCTTCAGAATTCCTCCTTTTAACAGGATTGGCACCTATCAGAGCTAGAACTGTATATGGCTTGAGGTTATACTGGTCCATGATCCATAATTGCAAAAATACAAAGAGTTAAGAAAACAAGTGTTTGTACAATGAATACAATACAAATGATCTGATTCAAATGACTTAAATGACTTGCACTAATATGAGGCTAGTTCTAGTCCTTTTCTTACAAGGTATATATTTACACATCTTACTGTGGAAATATTCAGGTATTGATGACACGCTGCTGTCCTAGGCCCAGTCAGGGGTGTTTTCTAACTTATAGACTAGAAGATATATCTCTAGAAATGAGATGTATCTAGAGATGTATCTTCTACATCTCTTCCCTGTGCGGATTTATTTTCCAAGGTGTCACTAAGCTGTCACAATTTAATTTCATAAAGTTCCAGGCTTGTAGGATGGTGTGGCTAATGGAAGAGTTTTATTAATTTGGTCATGTGTAATGCACAAATTATGCTACTTTTTTTCCTTTAAATATGGCTGTGTTTCTTCAGGCATGTCTGAGAGAATTTTTTTAAATTGTCTTATAGTTAATTTTTAAAAAAACTTTAGAAAGGCATATATAATGTGTATATACACACACACACAATACGTGTTTGTGTGTGTGTGTGTGTGTGTGTGTGTGTGTGTGTGTATAATGTATATATATACCTTTCTAAATTCCCCAAACTAATTCTGGATTCTGAAATACATCTGGTCCCAAACACTTTGGGAAAGGAACTGTGGACCTGTATTCTCTGATAAACCTTAAAATACTGGTACTTTTTAGTTAAGTGTGAAGAATGTCTATATAACTCAGTTATCAAATGAGCCAGTGGTGGAGCAGAACCTTTTGTGCAAATTAAAAAGCACTAGACAGCTATTCTGCCTCCAAAATCAGAAAGACTATGGCCAAGATGATGTAGTCCATGCCTTTGGATTCCTATACATCTGGGCCACATTTAACATTTTCTGGAAGGCTACGAGTCACTATGGCAGTTTTGGGTGGAGGTGAAGGATTGTTGGTTTTGAGTCCTAAAATGGGCATCATTTTTCCCATCTCGGTGTCATATGCCTGTGTGTACACCACAAGAATGATTCTGAGCTAGAAATGAATTGCCTGACAAGCTCTAAAAAACAGTTGCCTGGGGTTGCACCTCCCAGAAATGCCAATTTAATTGGCTTACAGAGCACCCTGAATATCCAGAAGCATCTCTCACTGATGAAGGATTCCTCATCTTCTCACAAATTGGGATACACTATCCTATTGGGGAAGCATAAGAGGCTGGGGAAGATACGTAAGGTTGATAAAAGATGTAGACAGGGCTCTTCACAAAGAAGGAAGTCTCTTGAGTGCTGAGAAACCCCCTCTGAGGAATATACTATTAAGAAAGGAAAAGTGAATCAGCTTCAACTCTTGCATCCATTTTAAACAATCAGCAGTAGCTGCCTAGAGTGCTCTCCTGGAAAGGATTCTGAGACAGAGTTGTTGCTCAGTGGGAAGACAAGCCATGACTGACTGACAACATCTGCCATGCACATGGGAAGAAGGCGTAGTTACAACCCCTGCCAGACCTATGCTGTCTTTCTTGAGAGCCTTGGCTCTGCTGCTTCTACAGTCCAGGCCCAATGGTATAACTCTCCAGACAGCATTAGCACTCAGCTGTGGAGGCAAGGATCTCAGATCACTGAAGCAAAAGTCCAAGTTTCCGTCCTCCTTACAACTCTACCCGTGTCTCTCTAACCCCTGTCTTCATCTCTGCTTATTGAAGAGGCTCTTGAAGGCATTCTTGTAGTTCTTGTTAAAAGCTGTGTAAATCAGGGGGTTGAAGAAAGAATTAGAGTAGCCAAGCCACAGAAATATGCTTTTCCAGATCGGGGGCAGGCTGCAGGCACAGAGTGGGCTGATGAGCTCCATCAGGAAGAAGGGGATCCAGCACAGCACAAACACGCCGATCAGAATTCCCACCATCATGGCTGCTCGCTTCTCCTTCTGCTCCCGCCAGGAGTCTCCACTCGCCTGAAAGGCCACTGTCGCTCTGCAATGTGCTGTGAACACCATTTCAGCCTCATCAGGTGCTTCCTTTACCTTAGAACAAAGAAAATGTGGAATGAAAAACTAAAACAGAAAAACAGGGAAGAAGCTGAACAAACCAGAAAGTCAACAGCTCCTCTTAGATTTGTCAGAGAAGTGCGGTCACAGCGCTAAATGCTGCTCCAAAAACTGGAGAGTCAGGTGAATACAGAGAATCACAGCTTTCCAGAGCAAAAACCCACAAGCAGAAACTTCTGCAGGAACCACTGCTGGGGTAAGAAAAGGTAAACTCTAATTGACAAATTGCTAGAGGCTCAGTGTCGAAAAATCTGATAGTTAAAAACTCCACGAGAACTTAGACATGGAGGGGAGTAGAGCGCGGAGGTAGACATTTTTATGTTTTATTTTCTCCAGGGTCTCTATCAGGTCCCCACAGTGAATACTGGAGAAAAATCACCCTGTGCTTTTGGCAAGGAGAAGGGAAAAGAATCCATTTTGAAATACACCAAACCATTCTGTTCTTAATAGGGCCTACCCTTATGAGAATTAACTTACCAGAGCCTAACCTGAGGGGCTTTTATTAGAGCCTAATCTACCTGGGGGAAGGTAAATACCCAACTCCAGCCCCCTGTAGCCATTCTGCCCCACCTAAGGGGGAAGTACGATTGAGAAGCACTAGTGAAGTTTACAGTCCAGGTGCACAGGCTCAGAAACAACTGAGACCTAATCAGTTCTCAGTAGTCACAGGACTACAGAACACTTTCCCTTCTCCCATACCTCACCACCATATTAACTAAAGGCCTATCTATCACCGTTCCTTTTACCCAATGCATCATGTCTACCTTTCAAAAAAAATTACAAGGCACACTAAAAGGCAAAAAACACAGTTTGAAAAGACTAAACACGCATCAAACCAAAGTCAAAGATGGCCTCGATGCAGGAATTATCAGACAATGAATTTTTTAAAACTATGATTAATAAAACAGCTTTAAAATGAAAAGTAGACAATATGCAAGAACAGATGAATAATGTAAAGCAAAGAAACTGAAATTCTAAAAAAGAATTTTTTTTTTTTTGAGATGTAGTTTCGCTCTTGTCACCCAGGCTGGAGTGCAATGGCGCGATCTCGGCTCACCACAACCTCTGCCTCCTGGGTTCAGGCAATTCTCCTGACTCAGCCTCCTGAGTAGCTGGGATTACAGGCATGCACCACCATGCCCAGCTAATTTTTTGTATTTTTAGTAGAGATGGGGTTTCACCATGTTGACCAGGATGGTCTCGATCTCTTGACCTTGTGATCCACCCGCCTCAGCCTCCCAAAGTGCTGGGATTACAGGCTTGAGCCACCGCGCCCGGCCTAAAAAAGAATTTTTAAAATGTTAGATATCAAGACACCAAAAGAGCCAGGCGCAGTGGCTCACGCCTGTAATCCCAGCACTTTGGGGGGCTGAGGTGGGTGGATCACAAGGTCAAGAGATCGAGACCATCCTGGTCAACATGGTGAAACCCCGTCTCTACTAAAAATACAAAAAATTAGCTGGGCATGGTGGTGCGTGCCTGTAATCCCAGCTACTCAGGAGGCTGAGTCAGGAGAATTGCCTGAACCCAGGAGGCGGAGGTTGTGGTGAGCCGAGATCGCGCCATTGCACTCCAGCCTGGGTGACAAGAGCGAAACTCAGTCTCAAAAAAAAAAAAAAAAAAAAAAAAAGACACCAAAAGAAATGAAGACTCCCCTTTCATAGATTCATTAGTAGACTGAGCACAGCTGAGGAAGGAACCTCTGAGCTTGAGGATATGACACTAGAAACTTTTGCAACCAAAACATAAATAGAAAAAAGATTTATAAAAATAGAATAGTCCAGAATGGTAAGACAACTACAAACATTGTAAATACACTTAATGAGAATACCAGAAGCAGAACAAAGAAAGGAACATAAGCAATATTTGAAGCAATAATGACTGAGAATTTCCCTAGTTAATATCAGACACAAAACCACAGATCCAGGGAGGTTAAAGAACACCAAGTAGAATAAATACCAAAATATAAGATACAGACACCTAGGCATATCATATATAAGCTTGAGAAAAGCAAAAATAAAGAAAAAAAATCTTAGAAAAAGCCAAAGGGAAAAACTATAGAGTAGCAAAGATAAAAATTATATCTAGCATCTCTTCAGAAACATTCAAGCAAGAAAAGTGTGAAGTAAAATATTGAGTCCCTCTTTAATGAGCCATTCCAAGGCTTCCCAGTCTATAGGCAGTGGAAGCGGCCTGTAACCGTTTCCGTTTACAGGAGATAATACTGACCCACCCACATCCTAGTAGACTATCATTAAGTCACCAGAGGAAGTCTAAATGACAAAACTTAGCATCCTGAAATCACCCCATGAATATTTCGCAGTCCCTTGTTGGGAGAGAAAAACATCTCCAGCGCATAAGAGGAAATGGAAAGTGATTTTGTTGTTATTTTTCTCCCACTAAGCTCATTAATGGGCACTTTTCCAGCCATTTCTATGCTGACCTGAATGATCTTCCAGGCACTTGAGTTCCCTCACTGTGTAATGAAATTCCAAATCCTCGTTAAGCTATTGAAGTAAGGAAATTGATGGGTTAAGTTCAGTTCAAAGAGATCCTGGGGGAAGAGAAACAAGAGAAGGAAGTCTGATTACATCGCTTAATTTAAAACACACCTGGCTCTACCACTGCAGCACTGAGCAGGGTCCACCTGTACTCTGCCAAGATGTCTTTGCCAGAAGCCCTGTGTTCACAGCTTTTCAGCCTGAGCCTGGTACGGCCTGTGCAGAGTGATGCTGGAAGGCAACGGAATCTTTCCAGAAACATCCTCAAAGGAAATGAGCCAATTGTGGCTGATTATAACTATTATTTTGCTAGGAGATGACTAGCTTGGTTTTTTCAGTTCAATGTGTAATTTCTATTAGGAAATCAACATAAAAAAAGAAGAAGCAGTACAACCCCCGAGAAGCTGCTATGAAACAGACACGTGCTACATGCCTGCAATAGATGACTTTCATTTTTCCTTAAGAGATTATATTATCATCCCCACTTCACAGCTGAGAAAACACTCTGAAAGTTTAGATACCTTGGTCCAAAGTCACACAGTTGCTTATTGTTAGAGCTAAAAGTCAAACTTGGGTAATTTAAAGGACAGCCCACACTCTTAACCCCTACATGTTATTCTGCATCTTTGAGTAAAAGTGATCAATCTAAATGGATTCCTACAGAATCTATTTTTGGGGTCATATTTACGTTGGGACGCTTGCAGAATGGGCATCTATGGCTCCTCAGGCAATTCCTGGGCCTCTAGCAACCAGCTCTGGGGGCACCCGGAGTCTCCCTGTTTCCTCTTGTCTCTCTGCAGCCTTTGGCCCTCAGTGGCCCTCTGCACACCTGTCTGATGACCACTCATGCTCAAGAGGCCTCTGACCCTGGATTTAGAATCTGCTCATCAGGAAGGTGAGAATATGAATTGCTGAATCCACACAACCAGTACTACCTGGGACTTTCTGGTCCTGTTGTACAAGGAGAAGTGTTCTGAATACAGAGGTTGGGGAGAGAGAACACTATAAACAAGGCCACACAAGGAGGGAAAGGCAGAACCAAGGTGCCTGCCCAGTCTCCAGGGTTCCAGGGCTGCAGGTTTCTTTCTGCCATGCTAAAACATGACCTCAAAGATGAGTTTACCTAAATGTCTTTATAGAGTCTAGGGCTTTTCCATTCGAAATTAATTAAGGATCAAATCAGCCAGACAACAAATGCTCAGACCCTGATTGGTTACCTGTGTGTACAGAAACAAGGCATTGAAAGTTCTCATGAGGTCTCAATTTTAAATATTCTGTCCCACTATTCCCATAAGTACTGTACTGCCTGTGTTGCCATACAGGGTCATTCTATGGACATGCTTAAGTTACTCTGTCAGGTGCGTTTACCCTATCATTTGGAAAGTCATTCGGCCAGTCTGATAAAAGATCATGGAGATGAGGATAGAGTCCTTTCCTTTGCCACTATACATCCAGCATCCTCCCCACCTGCCACTTGGAGGATAAGAGAACAAACACTATCTCCCTTATCTTGGAGGGCAAACGTGTACTCTCTGACAAGGCAGCTGAGAACTGGCCTGCCAGCCAGAGCCCCTCTTTATACTGGGGCATGAATTTGTAGATGTCATTCGGAATACCGCGTCATGACAAACACTCTACAAGGGTAGGGACCTTGAGTATTCTGTCTACTGAAGAATCCATAGCACCTAGTGTGATGCATGGTATACAGTAAGCACTCAATAAATATCTATTGAATAAAGAAATGTGTAGGGGGGATAATGCTCTTGCAAGTCTCTTGCATTCCTACGCATTTTGCTAGCAAAGATTCTGGCAGCCTTTGTTATAAACCAGTTTTTTAAGGATGTTTGTATAGCAAACAGCTCTGGAAGATAGAGATACTATCTCCCAGTGGAAAAGGGGGTAAGCTTGTTTGCAACCCATTGTAAAAGATTCAGGCTTCTTTTTTATAATATAAAAAATCTGTAATATAATACAAAAAATAAGAGCAGAAGGAACTGTCCAACACTAGGCAAAAGATTTGGGTTCCCTAACCTGGGAGTTCTCTGCTGTGATGCAAATTCATCAGAACCATCCACATCACTCCTGTGGGACTTTGAGTGAACAGGGAACTGATTCATAGCTGAAGCTCACACTATGTAATAAAGTTTCTCAATTCCAACCCAAGAGCATCATGTCTTCTGCCAGCATCCAGTAATGGCAGGCCGACTTGTTAGCCTGCAGACAGAGTAAAATCTCAGACCCTTCATAGTTCTTGACATATGTCTAGCACTTGGGTGGCTCCACACGCGGTCCTACTCAGTTATGACAGCAACCACCTAAGGAAGGAAGGAGGAAACCAAGGCTCAGAGCACATTAAAAATTAGCTCGACTTCCAAGCTGGGTCCCCATTTCTAATACCCTACCCAGAAGAACCTTACCTCTATCATAGGCTCATTGTGAGGACTGAAGGAGACCATGGTACAGAGTAGGCCCTCA